CCTAACCCTAACCCTAACCCTAACCCTAACCCTAACCCTAACCCTAACCCTAACCCTAACCCTAACCCTAACCCTAACCCTAACCCTAACCCTAAACCCTAACCCTAACCCTAAACCCTAACCCAACAAGTCGGGTACGTTTGGCAAGATCTTGGGCTTGAACTATCCAGTCTTCTAGACGAATACTCGTTTCATCGCCTTTGAACTTGGCGAGCTGAGGCGCAGGTAGGAGGCTGGTTACGGCGAGGGTATTGATGGACTGTATCACCTCTTCGATGGGCTTGCCTGCGGTCGTAGGGGGATTTGTTGGGATTCCTCTGGGCAGTTTTGCGTCCGCCATCTTGACATCGCCTTCATCATTGGTCGGCGTTGGTTTATTGGTCAAGGCGGCGAGGAATTCCGTAAGGTACTTATTCGTTGTCCCTGGCTGTTGTGCTAGGGATGCGGCGAGTTGTTCGACAGCCGTAGCCGTGTTCTTTGCGATATTCAAGGCTTCTGCGTTGTTGATTACCATCTGATTCATACGCGCTTCTAGGTCGTCAACTCGAGGCGGCTCTACACCGGCTGGATTGGTCCCTGCGTTTGGTGTTGCGCCAAATGGTCCTTCAGGGGGTACGACAAAGCCTTCTTGAGGGTCAGCCATGATTGAGGAGTCGACAAGGTAGTGTAGGGTAGGTTTGTTGGAAAGTTACTCCGAGCTACCAACTGTTTGGTCGGTAACCCGCACGTGATGAATAGATTAGGCAGGGAAAGTGTTCGACTCGCGTGAGCGCAGTCGAAGATAGGATCGGACTTAAGATGAGAGCATAAGTGATGTATTTGTGAGAGTCAATGGCTCTTGTACCTTGGGTTCTTATAGGCGTCGGGCGCCTATAAGGCATATATCATAGTTGTGCTATACATCGTGGGTGACTTAGGGATCTAGGGGTTTGTATGCGTGCACAGATGGACAAATGTGTATACAATAGAAGCCACAATGGACGGAAGTGGCTTCGTTGGTCTATTTGGTTCGGGAAGCAGACCTCGACCCGTGGCAGTGTCATCGTGGCTTTATGGCTTGATTGGTGGCGCAAGGCCTAGGCTGCGCCACATGCACGTACCCCGTGTACGTATCAGCTACACTGATACGTACACCGCTATGTTCTCTCGTGCGATAGTCGTGAACCCAAACACTCGCATCAACACGCACTCAAATAAAACGCGCCGACGGCGATTGCCTTGTCCACCTGTGAGCCTGTGCAAGAAAGACTCGCAATTAAAAAGGGTCAAGATTAAAAACACGGGAATTTGTGGAATCCGGGAGTCGAACCCAGGTCTGATCGGGCGCTGCTTCGAGACGGTCAAAGACCACGCTACTCCACAACGAACTGTGATAACCACCTACACTAATTCCACGTACCCCAGCTGCACGTCGAGGTAATATATATACCAACTATTGTTGCGCAGCTCCTCTCAGCCGTGTGGTCCGACCTGCCCACGGCCGGACGCCCGCGCGCGCCTTTTGATTCACGCGATTGCTGCACGCATGCGCCGCGAAGTGCCCCCCCGCGACAGCGCTCTTGTGACTCTTGACTCATGACTTGACACATCAGCAAGCTGGTCGCGATTCGTGATTCACGACTCACGACTACACTCAACTCACGACTCGACCGTGACGCCCGCCCGCCCAGGTACTCGCGATTCTGATTCACACGCTCTATGTTGATTGGACGTCAAGCTTGCCGTTCGCCATTGCTGTCACTGTCACACCCTTTAATTGACTTCGAGAGGCCTTCCACAATGCATTTCCTAGCCCTTCTGGCTGGAATCGCCATCCAACCCAACCCAGTCACGTCACTGCTGGATGAACGCCTCTGCTTTGCACGATACTGAAGCCTCTCGTCCTTTCTGTCTCTCCATACAAGCGTGGAGTGTTCGTCACTCTTATAGCCACCCGCAAGGTATCCGCGCTCACGTCAGGGCCCCAGACGCAAGGCATGCGGCTGAATAGCTATAGGCTAGAGTTCGTCACCGCTCCACCTCGCGCATGGTCTGCTGGTCCAACAGCGCGCCAGATTTGTCGGCGCAATTGCGTCGAGCGCCCAGTGCTTGTGGTATGCAGCATCCTGTCGGGAGCTCTAGTGAGCGTGCATTTCTACAACGCATGTGCCACGCCGTGCTCACATACCCCCAGCATGCCACATCTTCCAGTCGAAGCGCCGGGATGTATGTGCTCAGCAGACGAGACGAAGCGCCGGGATGTTTGTGTTTAGCAGACGAGTTCTCGCACTCGCAAGTCTTTTGCGGATGGCAGAGCTGCTCGACTTTGGCTGGATCGAAGCATTCCTTGGCTCATCAGCGGGCGCGTCGGTGCGTCCTCATTGTGAGTAGGGGACCCTAGGGTATCACTCGCGGAATCATGCAAGTTGCGCAGGCTGCCGATACTTGTCAAAGCAGCAGAGCTGACGTCGAGCCGGTGACGATAAGCCCAAGCCTCGCATGCGGCTCAAGGTGTAGGGCATGGCACAGCTTGCGACCGAGAGGAGGCGGGGTGGCTGCCTCTCTGGGTAGGCACCTCGCAGTCCGATGAGGTGCAAAGGAGCGTGGCGAGATGCGGGCGCTTGGATGTGGGTCGTTGACAGACGAGCAGTCTTTCGACTTTTCTCGCACACATCAGCGCCTCGTCACACACCAGAGCGGGAACGCCAAGAGTCTTCTATTCAAAACAAAGGTTACATCGGTACATGGAATACGAGGCGAGAGCGTGGCATTACGTGCGCGTTATGCCCCCTTTCCCCAGCTCAAGAACGCGAGTCAGGGCCATCATGGCGCTGAACGACGCTGCGGCGTGTCAATCATAGGCGGGAGCGTGCGTGCACCATCTCTCCGTAACGTTTGCGGTCGTTTGCATCTGTTGAAGCGTGGCGGCTGCCGGCCTGCTGCGGTTGCGGTGCTGCTTGCTGTTGCTGCAGCAGCTTTGCGGCATCGCTCGGGGACAGCAGTGCCTTGCGCACGTATTGGCGCACCGCAGCGTCCTGGTGAGCCGCCGCGTATAGCCAGGCGGATACGTATGGAGCCCAACCGTCTCTGCGATGCATCGAGGAGAGTCGTTGGTCAGTCTTCGAGCCCTCTTTGTGGACAATCGCCGGTTCACTGACCTGGTTGGAACGACGTGCCCTCCCGAATGGATCTGGACATTTTCCGCGTGCGTCTCCGCTGCCAGGATGCGCAGCGCTGGAGCCGGAATGACCTTCAGATGCAGGCACAGATGGAACAGAGGCTCAGCGAGAGGCTCAGCACCAGATTCACCGCCGGTCACCTCTCAATTCCGGTCACTCTCTACCCTCTCTGTTCCTCTGGGCGCCAGCTCACCTTGTCTTTGGTACCGAAGAGAAAAAGGTGAGGAGTGCGACGGTCTGCTTTACTATCGCGCCGCTGGTCCTGCAGGTGCTGGTGCGCATCCCTCAGCAGCGCGCGGTAGCGAGGGGTCGAGTGTGGGGGTGCCGACACGGCAATCATGAAGCGCAGCGGACCTTGAGAGGGTGGCGGCTTGAACGTCGGCGAAAAGCGCCCCCATTGAGGCTGCTCGAGCGTCATGGCGGCTTGAAGTGCTGAGGACGAGATTCAGAAGCGTCGCGCGGTCGCGCAGTTTCAGAGCTGACGACACTTACCCGAAGGGGCACCGCTCGAGAAAGCAATCATGCCATCAAATGGTCCGTGAGTGTGCATCAGCTCCGAGATTCTTTGCAGCGCAAGATCGGTGCCAACCCAGGCCCCGCCTTTGCCTTTGTGCGCCTGCGATTGGGCAAGCCAGGCTGCGCACAGAATGAAATCGTCAGCAATCTATCTACTGTCATTCTCCAACATCGACACGCACTGTAGGCATGAGCGTGTTTTGGCAACGCTTCCACACTGTCAATTTGCTCTCGCGGCACAGCGTCGATCAGCTGCTGAATTTCGCCCAGGCTTTGATGGAGAGAGTCGGCATGCTTGTCGTTGTCCTCGGCGTAAGGAGCGCGCTCCATGGTGCTGAGCTCTGTCAGCATGCCCATCTTGAGGCGCTTGGCCGCAAAAGCAAGCAAGGCTTGCGGAGGAAGTGGAGCCTGCTGCTTGGTAGTTGAAGCGCTCTCTTTTGGTGACGTCGAGGATTCAATCGAGTCTTTGCGAGCGCCGGACAGTGGTGGCGCACTTTCGGCGCCACCTACTACTTGCTTCATGTTGGATTTGACTTGACCGCTGTTGGCAGATGAAGTGGGCATCAGCACGGGCGGTCTGATGGGATCAAGGTGATTCGTCGGTCGCAAGCTCACTATGTGACGTGTCCTATTCCCGACGACACGAAAGGTCCATTTGGGCAGATCAACGTCCAGTCCGATGGCAGATGTGCCTTCAAAGGCTCTAGCTGCTTGCGAAAGGTTTCGCCATTCTGTTTGGCAATCACAAAGTCGCGTCATCAACGCTGTCAGGTTCGAGCGACGATGGTTGGTATATGGGAGACGCACCTGGCCAAAGCCGTGAAGACAGAGCACGCGCATCTTGTTTGCAGTCGTCAACGGTAAAGGAGATGTCAGGATGGTGTTGGTGGCTGACGATGTGTGGGAAGGCACTGCTAGAGCCGGACGGCAAGTTCCGAGTTCCGAGCGAGGGTATTGCCAGACAGTGCGTCGTTTATAAGAGGTCTACACGACTTTCGCCTTCGCTAGCACACAGCTATCCTTTACATATCAAAAGGCCCACCAGGGCTACTGCCTGGCCGGTGTGAACGCCTTTGCGTGGAGGACTCTGTCTTCTTGCGGTTGAGCATAAGCATTGCGCGCTGTGCACCGCGATCACGGCCGCGAGATAGATAGTGGTCGCTTCTCGAGTAGTTACAGCGGTCTCGATCCAATCACTCGAGCGCCAACGCAAGCGCTCCGTTGACCCTCTACCCCTCGGTCTTTCAGCTCAGCACGCCATCATTACGAATCTCTGGAGCAAAAAGAATACGCCCGCGCTTCTTCTCTCGAAACGAGCTAAAATTGCTTTCACGAATTATGGCGCTCTCTCGCTGCTGACCATCAGCACAGCCTTGAGCCGAGTCGAAGGACGCGCAGCCTGGGCGAGGTAGACGCTCTGTGAGTGCTGCTAGCGCGCCGCATCTCAATCGTAATCTGAGCGTCTGACGAATCATCGTCTGGACTCTTCATGACCTGTGTTCGACATTGCGCATTTAGCGAACGCTCACGTCACGACTCTTCCCTGAACCTGCCATCCTGCCATAAGCAAATGCGCAAACCGCCTTCGTAGCAGCAGGTGCTCTTACTGTATGATTACGCTGCTGTCCAAAGTTGGCACAGCTGAGCGCCGCACGATGCTCTCCGAATGCAACCTGATTGCGAAGCCGGCCTTGTGAGAGATGCCCACTCGCCGCCACTTTGCAGCCTTGAGATTGGGCAGATCCGGTCTCTGTACACTGAAGTTCAGAGTGCGTCTGGCGCGTTTACTCCGGCCAGCTCTGCGTGTGGCGAACGGGATGGGGACCCGCGTTGGGGTCACATGCAAAGGCTGATGATGAAATACGCGGTGCTCACTTTGGATGCAACGGCTTGACATGTGGCCTTGCTAAGCCCACACAGCGTATCTGCACTCGCTAGGCAGCCGCGCGCTCCGCCACAATGAAAAAGGAGCCACGTTGTGCGAATCTCGCTGTGAGGTCAAACAGTCGCAGCGCCAAGTCTTGTACATAGACTGCGGCTGCGACGCTACTTGTACCGCGTATCACGCTGTCATATCTTTCTCGTACATCTGGATCAAGCTTCGCTACCTGTCGGCAGCTCGGAGGCTGACGGCGCAAACATTCACGATTGGAGAATCAATTGTCGTGTAGCGCTTTGCGGCTAGGCGTGCGGGTCTGTTGGCTCCCTAGCAGCATTTGCTGGGCAGTGCCGAGCACTTGCAAGGGTTTATCTCGAGTGTACGAGCATCTCACCTGTGTTTTCGCAATGAAGACGATCTGTGATAGCAAAGCTGAGTTCATTGGGACTCACGATGGGGCAGAAGCGGCTCTGCGGTCTCTTGGCGGTAAAGAGGAGACATCGCTTGTCAAAATTACCGCTGCCACTGAAACGATTCGGCTCTGCGGTCTCTTGGCGGTAAAGAGGAGACATCGCTTGTCAAAATTACCGCTGCCACTGAAACGATCGACTCGACCGCGCTAAGTAGTAGCAAGCCGCTAGGCCAAAGATACATGTTCACAACCAATTGCTGCGGATGGAAAAAGCGGTCGGACTGCTGGTCGGGACGGGCATGTTGTCAGCTCGTTGCCTACCCGACAGCCTTGAAGCGTGGACGGCCTTGCGAGTGTGCTGTTCCCTGCGCCCATAGTGCGGCCCATAGCAGGCTTCAGAAAGGTCCACGTCTCGAGCCAAGTGAGAGTCTTGAATCTGAACAAGTCTGTTATGGTGCACAGGGCTCCCATGGGTGATATAGCTCGTGCGAAGGATCCCACACGATTCGTATCTCACATGGCGGGAGGATTAGGGTTACGGCTACAGTGCGCTGCTCCACCTCAGCGCGCGCGCGACGTATTGTCCGCGCTGCGCGTGAGAAGATGCGTTGGTACCGACGGTAAAGCACTCGCTCGACGGCCCTACTTCCGCCTTGGCCGACGGCTTCATGCCCGAGGCCCAATTCGATTTGGTGCCGAGCGGCATGCAGTGCCCATTCGGCTCCGGCACTAAGCAAAGAGATCTCACACGAGTCAGCAAGCGAGTATTGAGCTGTGATTCAGAAGTGCTATTCTTAGTGCACTGCTCCTTGCTCCCTGATCGGCCCCACGTCGTCAGCCGCCGCGCGCTCGATCCCCTTGTGGCGTTTGTTTGCGATACGAGAAAGTAGGTTGAGGAGGGGCTTCTGCGCATGCAACCACTTTGCCCCGAAACTCCCACGCGGCGTCCGATTCTCTCCGCGTTGGCGCGATGCAATGACGCGGAGTGTACTGGTCCGGCGCGCAGAGCTGCAGCTCGCAGACGGCCGGTTCAAGTGCTCCCTCGACAAGCAACACTCGTGACTCTGACTTCCACTACCCCTACTCCGGTCCTTGGTTGACACCACCACCGTTCGGCAAGGTGGTGACGCGCAGTCAAGCACAGATTTGCCGACTTGGCCATAGGACACGTTGCAAGCTCGGACTTTGTGACCACACACAGACCTTGAGCGCTCGTTTTAATCAGACTTCGTTGAGCTCAATCTCTAATCGCAGTCACGATGGCCAAGCCCATGCGGAAGCTTTGGCAAAAGCACATCACCTTATCTGGACGACAGTCGTCACGAATGGTCGCTGTCCAGTGGCCAAGCTTCAATATCCAACCTGGTCCGAAAAAAAAAAAAAAAAAAAAAAAAAAAAAAAACGATTGTGCGCGCGCCGCGGGACTCGGATCCCAGAAAAGCACGCACGCAGCGGCTGCGCGATCGGAGCGCTTCGACCAGCGCGTCGCTGTCAGTCTTGAGTGTGGCCGGCATTGAGGTGAAATGCAAGACTGCGCCGGCCTGCTTGTTCCTACATGAGCGTCTCTGCCCTTGTACGTCTGTCTGCGTCGGACCAATCGATCGAGCGACCTGCATTCTCATTAAACGGCAGGCATGCGTGCCCAACTCGCGCATCAATGTGATGTGATCACCATCAATGTCGCGGAAATTTGCAGAAGGACCTGCTTTCAACCGCGCTAATTTTGAGTCGCACTGACGTACTACGAAGTATCATGGAGCATCCTGTAGTAGGACCATTCGCAATACAAACGACAGACAGCAAGCTCCGATGCTGAGCGCTGATCTATAGATGTCAGCGGGCCCAAACACTATCAAAGTTCAGACTCAACCTTGCATTGTACTCCCAACCAGCTACGGCTACGCTCGCCCGCTCTGGAGTTGGCCGATCAAGACAGAGCAGCATAGAGCGAGTAAGTCAAGCAGCGCATCATCATGCGTTCCGTATGATCTCGATGTCGTCCAGTGACCTGGGTGACTCAGACGAAGGGACAGGAGCCATACCTTTCTGGAAATCACTCTGTATCACAGCTTCGGCGCACCATTGCCATTGCTGCCAGGGCTAGCAGACAAGCATCAATACAAGTCGACTGGAGCTCTGTCATCCCCCTCCAGACTCGTCCTTTCCAGGAAAAAGCAGAGCCGCCCGCAATTCGAGCTCTCAGCAGCACGTCATCGGGCGAGCGATACCCAAACAGCCTTGACGCGGGACTACACCGCTTTTAAGATTCAGGCGAGTCCCGCCAGCATGAGGCTAACCATTAGCTTCGAGGGTCTGAGACGATAGCTCGAGGCGAGGCGGGCCTAAAGCCGCTGCAACGGAAATTTATACTGCCGCTAGAGCCCCAAAAAAATCGCGCCCAGCCACGCATCAACCTCACAGCACGTTGCCCCGAACTCGCCGTGAGGCTCATCGTTCTTTCAATCAACGCAACCCAAACAAGCATTCGATGCAGCAGGCTAAGTTGCAGCAGACAAAGTAAGCGACATTGGCCGCTTTGACAGCCATTGCCTCACATCTACCGGGCGGCCAGCTCGTCAAGATAGCGCTTGACCTTCCAAAGCCGAGTCATCGCGAGTGGTCCTTGTTGATAAGACTCAAGTGAATGAAGCGTGCCTGCATTCGATTCTTGCAGGCATGTTTTCTTCGTGGATGGGCTTCGAGATTTGAACACGCCTCCCGGCACCATCGGCTGGCCAAATTAATCCAGTTTCGTGACTCTGTCACGTTCGCACTGCTGCTCCGGTGGCCGCGAGCTAGAGACGAACAAATGACTCTGCTCTTGTCCTCCGTTTGAGAAGCCGAAATACGATGTCACGAGTGTGCGGACAGTCACACAGTGCACCTGGCTTCACAGGCTTGCGTGTTGTGTCCCTTTGAAGCTAGCTCGCGCTTCTACATCGAGTGGTTCGAGCGCGCTTGTTGAAAGAGCTCAGCTTCTAACAATGCCCTAACTTGGATGCAGCCTTCCACTTCTTCATGCTTCGTATTCGTACGACTCCCAGAGTCGACAAAGCCAAGCTTCTCCGCTTCTTTGCGATTTCACTCCATCAACCATCAGAAACGCATACCGCTCTCGCTGTCACCATGGATCAAGGGACTGCTTTTTCCAGTAAGGCGGCACCGAGACGATTCTGGTCGTCGGAAGAGGACAGCAGGTTGCGGCAAGTCGTTTCCCGTTGTGAGTCACCAGCTATGCGTGCATAATCACTCGTGCATAGACTTCTCTTAAGCTCTTGTCGATGAATTCAATGGTCATGATTGCAGTCAAAGACGGCAAGTGCGTAGACTGGCGCGAAGTAGCCAAGGAGCTAGACGGTCGAACCAACAGAGAGTGCCGCAAGAGGTACTGCTATTCTCTTAGCAAGGGAATCAAGAAGGGGACGTGGTCCCGCTCGGAGGATGAGGCGGTGAGTGCCTGCTGGCTTGTCTTAGAGTTGGCTCTGGCGAGACAAGGCTGGCGAGAGGCGCTGCCTAGACCTGACTCTCCTGCTCTCATGTCAATCAGTTGCTCAGAGGACACGAGCTCTGGGGCCCGTGGTGGTCGAAAGTAGCGCAAGAGCATGTCATCAATCGCACTGGAGACCAATGTGCCAAGCGATTCAAAGACGTGCTCGACCCCTCAATCAACAAGGTATGTGCGGTGCCGCAGCTGCACTATTGGCGCACGCGGCCCAAATGCAAGTCCGTCTCGTCTCGTCGCGCTAACGCCTAGGCCCTCGTGCCGCATCTAGCGCGAGTGGTCGCAACACGAAGACGAGCTTCTGCTCCGTCTAGCCGTCGAGCAGAATCGCTCCTGGCGCAAAATCAGCAGAGCCTTTGACAATCGACCAACCATCCAATGTCGGAATCGGTACACGCGTTTGATGGCCCTAAAGAGGAAAGAAGCGGCTTCACTGGAGGATCACAGCACCAGTGATCAAGATGATTCGGATGATTCGGATGAAGATGATGGAATGGATGTAGATCCATCGCTCAGCGTATCAACTCTCACACATTCCTCCCGACAGCTCACCGCTCGAATTCACAATGAAGGCGAGAGCGGAGCGAACGAAATGACCGCTGCATCACGCGCGTCACTGCTGGACGCGTCGGCGGCGGGTTGCCGGCTCCCTCCAGTTTCGAATATGGATCCGCCTTTCATGACGCCCGACTTGCGGTCGGGCCAAGGGGTTGCTGCTGCATCTTTTGACGCTGCTACCCAGACATCCGCGGCGCCTCGCGCTGTGACTTGTCTCTCGCTTTCCAGCGCGGCCGTGGGTCAAGCTTGGTCCCTGATGGACGGCTCAAGCGGGGACGGCCTAGGCCTGACTTCGGAGCTTGAAGGGGGCTCTGAGCAGATTGATGCAGCTCTAGATCCGCAGCTGGGCACATTCGGCTCGCCAAACGACTATCCGCTGCTGCCTTGGAGCTTTGATTCTCAAATGGTGGTCCCGACAGTCAATCGGGAAGCGGCTTTGTCCACGTCTCACACCACACCCTGTCTTTCGTCAGACCACTCCACACCCTCCTCTTCGGTCCATGGTCTACACTCTGACCCAGCGAAGGCTACATCCTTGTCTTGGAACACCCTCGAAAGCTTCCTGAGTGCTAGTGATCCGTCGCGCACAGGCATGGACTGCTCCAGCAGTGCACTTTCGGAACCTGGCTTCGAGGATCGGCTTTTCAGCGAGCTGAGCGACGTAGACTTCGCCAGGCTGAACGCAGATGTAAAGACGGTTTTGCAGACGAGTTATTCTCACGATGGAGAGGTAGCTATTCAACCGTCAGCTCAGCCAGAGTTACACGCTAGCGCGCCGCCGCCCCATCCAGACACCAGTCAAGCTCGCGAACATCAGATTGGTGATCCTGAGTCCAACAGCCTCTTGATTGCTGTGCGGGAGCTCACTGCTGAGCTTCGAGAGCTCAAGAGAGCATCCATCAATGGTCCCGGCGACGAGCAACAGCGTCGAGCTAGTGTCTCTTCCGCCTTGAGCACAAAGAGCGAAGTTCGAAGTCCCGTCGAATCTTTCAGCAGAAGATGTTCAGGCTGGGGCTCATCACATCAATCATCTCCTGCGTCGAGGAGTCATTTTGCATCTCCGACCAGTCATCAGCAAGAAGTCTTTGCACAAGAGGTCAGCCACGGCGCCTCCGAAAGCGCCCAAGTCGGACCTGATTTCCACAGAGGGTTTTCCTTTGACGGAGCTGCCGCGCGCCTTGCATCAAGCAACCCTACTCAGACGCCGTGCGGCAGCTCTTCGGAAGCACGATCCAGGCCACGAGCAGTCACTGGACACACAACTCCAACACTCTCAATGACATCTCCTGAAGCCGCTCGGTCGCCAGCAGCCGGCAATGTTAAACGTCTTGGCCTCAATGGAAACGGCGATGGGCATCTTCTTCAGATGCTTGCAACTCTCTTGAATTCGCTAGCTGAATCTCAGAAGAGTGCCTCGTCCTTATAGACAAGTCCTTTCGCTGTTGTCATAGATAGATACTTCGAGTCACTTTTTAAATGTCCTCATCGATGTCGTTTTGACTCGTGCAGCGCAATCAAGGGTGCGGATATCGCTTCGAACAAGTACAATGACTCTGTAAAATCAATCACGACCACGAATCACGACCACGGGGCAAAGAATCTGCGGCATCGAAGCAGTTGTGTGCACGATCTTTACGAGGATTGGCCTCGTCAGGCAGCAGCGATAGTAGCTGAGTGAGCTGCGGGAGCCGGTGCTGCCATTGAAGGTAGTCTGACGTCTTGAGACGCGGCGAGTCGTGTACGCAGAACCTTTCCAGCGGCGCTACGACAGGCAAAAGTGATTTCGAGTGAGTCGTGTGCCTTCATAGGCGAGTTCTTCACCAGAAACACACCGCAAAGGGCTGCTCACCTTCGGGGGATTGCGTCAATAGCAATCAGGCGAGCCATGCGCTTGTAGCGAACTAGTCGACTGTTGGCGGATTGGAGCAAATCATCAAGGATGCTCTCTGGCTGCTTATGCGCGTCACGGAGCACCACAAATCCAATCGGCACTTCGGTCTCTTTGCGTGGATCGGCTTGTGCTACAACGAGAAGGCTGCCTGCTAAGTGTCTTTGCGGACGCGTCTCTCCGGCGCTACGACAACTTACCGACTACCGCGCAGTCAAGTACCTCATCCGATTCGAGCAAGCATTCCTCGAGCTCCACTGGCAGGCAGGAAGCGCATGTCAGCGCGCAATGGGCAGTAGACAGAGATTCAGGTGTCGGCGACTTACCTGGCGACACCTGAAAGCAATTCACACGAATGATTTCCTGGAAGTTTTTGAATGAAGAGGGGCTCGATTGATGAAGTCAATGAAGCTGATGTGCTTCAGCCTGAACGATATTCACCTTGCTGCGACCGACGTACCACCAGCACCCATCTTGATCAACAGTAAAGATATCGCCTGTTCTAAGCCATCCGTCTTTGTCGATCGCTTCCTGAGTAGCTTTCGCATTGCCAAGATAGCCAAGCATACGATTCGGTCCACGTAGAAAGAGCTCGCCAGGAACTGTGCCATCAGAGACAGGCGTGCCATCATCCAACGCGAGTCGAGCTTCCCTGCAGGGCACGAACAAGTTCGAAGAAATCAGGGCATCGTTCACCTTGCGCTGCTCGCTCGCATCCCACGCTACTTACATTCCAGGTAGTAGGCGGCCGGCGGTGCCGGAGAGAAGGCATTCGCGAGTAGAGTCTTTTTGCGGAAGCATGTGCGTCGCGGGCGCCATCTCGGTCATGCCGTAACTTTGTATGATCGAAGCGTTCGGCATCGCTTCGAGCAATTCTAGAGCAAGCTCTCGTTTGAGCGGTGCCGAGCCCACCATGCAGCCTTGGATACTTGCAAGAGTTGAGGCGCTTTGCTTGTGCTGGTCGACCAATGCGACAGCGATGGGCGGTACGATTGTCAGATGCGTAGCCTGATGCTCTCGGATCGCCTTGGTGAACGTGTCGATTCTGAAGCGTTCGAAATGCACAAATTTGGCGCCAAAGAGCAGTCCGCCTAGGATGCAACACATGGAGCCATAAGCGTGGAAAAGGGGCTGCGAGGGCGACTTGTGATTGAGCGTGGTCTGCGTCCGATCCTGACCTGTGGCGAGGACTTACCAGAACGTTGGTGTTGGTGCAGGAGCTGTTGAAAAATTCCGGCCATCCAGCTTGAAATTGGTAGGCCTGGGCATGTATGAGTTCAGCAGAGTCAGCTCTCGTCTGATCTGTGCGGGGGTAAACAAGCGGATTGCGCACATTGACTATGATATTGTGGTGCGAAAGCTGTACACCTGCAGGCGGGAGGGGACGAGCGGTCAGATGGCTGCCAAAGTATCGCTCACTCGTTTCCTGGACTCGCCCTTGGGTTTGCCTGTAGTCCCACTGGATGAAAAGATGATGGCGCACTTCTCTTTTGGATCACCGCGAAGCTCGGGCAAAGGACCGAGCTCCGCGTTCGCCTTGCTGGTAGTCGCTGCCGCCCAAGCCTCGTTCGTGATCTCCCACATCAGGACCCCTCCAGCTAGATGTAGGGCCTCCAAGGCAGTGTGGCTACTTGAAACCGTACTACCAGGAGAGCAAATGACGCCTTTGAGTTTGTCACCAGGCAGCGCTAGGCAGTGTTCCAGCTCGCTGGCCGTCAGATGGGGATTCAGACAGGTTGGAACTGCACCAGTGAGCTCTAGCGCGAGTACAAGGACGGCGTAGCGTGCCTTTGATTCGGAGAGGCATGGTTAGCGCTGACATTTGGCCTGGGCGTGCGAGTGCTGACTCACACTGTTGACGCAAATGAGAGCTACGACATCGTCTTGCTCAAGGCTGAAGTACTCCTTCAAAAACAGGGCCAGCCGATGAGCTTGCTCGCGCAGCTCTTTGAAGGTAGTTGCGGTACCATCAGAGGCCTCGACTAAGACAACTTTGTCATCGGCGACGCCACCAATGTTTTCCATAACAAGCTGTCCCCAAAATTTGCCCGTAGGCACGCTTCCCATATGTGGAACTGTCGAGTAGAAAGTCGTCATCTCGAATTCGTCACTTGGCCAGGTAAAGGGAGACAAGGGCGCTAAGATGATGCAGACGAGGCACTGTTGGGGATCGACACCAGATGCCTTTGAATTTATGAGACAAATTGCCGGCGTACCCGACAGGCATGTCTGAGCAATGCTGTTCATTCGGGTAGCCCGAGACCATCTGCAAGAACGGCTCCTCATACTGATCACACCGACACTGAGCGGTGCAAATGATTCTAGGTGTATTCGAGAGGATCTCAGACCGCTTCAGCTTCTCAGGTCAAAGATCGGGTCCATCCAGTCCGCAGTTCGACAGCAACGCAGCAAAAACAGTTTCAGGCGTAAAGTCGTTGCGGGCATCAGTAGTGGATTGAGGTGACGCCATTGGCAAGAGATGATGTGCCTCACGTCCCGCAAGTGAGACATACGGCTGACAAACGCTTTGTCTTCTTTCGCCTAGCGAGGAACAATCGCGCCTCCACAATAGTAGAGCGAGAGCATTGCAGGGCACAGCCTGCACACTGACACACCAGCCGGATGGCTGAGGTAGCCCGTCCTGAGGTGTTGTAAAGCCGCATTTTCGCATTGCGAAAAGCATCGGAGGAGGTTCGATAGCGAACGCAGTCACCGCTTTGAGCGCTGCAACCTACTATGCGCTGGGCCTTTGAGAGAAGACGGGGAGCGGAAGAGGCGAGGCTACGCAAGAGTCGGGCGAGCGTCGTTTTACTCGGATTATAATCCGTGTAGGCAGAGTGTGCCCCGCTCCAAACTCCAAGTGGCCCAGAAGTCGAGAACAATCAAAACACTAAGTTTTTGAGGTGCTGACCGATTTTGCGATCGGCACGCTCACGGACATTGAGAATTCAGAAGAATGTTCACGACGGTCACGACATAGCTTGTTGTGAGAAGAGAGCAAATTCGCATCGAGTGGGGCCTTGACTGAGAGAGGGGGAAAAGACTCGTATACATGCACAAGATAGAGGTCTGTGCGCTATACGAACCGCTCAGCTGCCTTGAGCATCGAGGGAGACTGTGCGCTTCATACAGCTTCGGTGCGACGGAGGATCTCTTGCGGAATACAATCGCCGGACAGAGAATTCCATGAGCTGAGAAAGGTCACCAAGTCGAACATCGCGTACAAAGAACGAATCGGGCGCAAGTATCTCTAATCAGGTTCTCATTACGTTTGAGTAGAAGGCAGTGGGTCGCAACTAACAGGAAGATTCTGAGTCGAACGAGCGAACGAACACCTTGCAGCCCAGAGAAAAATCTCGATCGTGAGAGCGAGCTAAGCACCGCCGACAGGCACTTCTTGACCTCCCCTGATGGACTTCCACTCGATTCCAGCAGTCATGATGAAAGCCAAGGCAGCTGCAGCAAAGCATTCTTGTCAACACGCTGATGCGAGCCAAGCACAAATTCGATCCCGAGGTGACATGGACTCACGAGCGGCAATAGCGCAAACGAATGCGTTTGTGACGGCAGTATTCTGGGCCTCTGCGACCGCTTCGAGGAACATTGCCGGCACGACAGTTCTCCAACCACTGTGAACAATAATTTCGGCGAAATGAGAATGTTTAGCCCTCAACACGCTCTGAAAGCTCTTGGACCTGTCCGCTCGGTCGGGCACTTACCTGACACCAGCTTCGATGACAGTGAGCGCATCGGGTCCGCCAGGAATGCTACTGATTTGGGTCTTGAGGGTGTTCTGGTAGATGCTTTGAGCGATACTAGTCATCAGCGTTCCACCGAGCGTCTGCAAGAAGATGACGATGGTAGTGCCGGCATCCGTATCTTTTCCAGAGACGGTCTGAGCTGCGACGAAGGCCAAGTTAAACCCAAGTCCTGAGCCCGAACCAGCAAGGAACTGGTAGCCAATCCATGCCGGGTGCCCAGTGTGCACCTCCCACTCGTGCAGAAGGGTTCCGCCTGCTACAGCCATCAGAGCAGCGACCATCATGACTGAGAGAGCAAGCAGGCCGGAGAGAGAGATCAGCGCGCAAATTTCTTCCGCTGGACTTCCCTCTACTCACCAGGCGTGTAGTAGCCGAGCTTTGTGACAATGATGCCCGACAGGGTGGAGAAGATTACCACCCCAACAATCATCGGAATCGTCTGCACTCCACTGATAAGAGCGGTAGAGTCTGGTAGCCGAAATACGCAACAGGGTCAGGAAATGGTACGGCGTGTCAGATCTGGCGCCGTTGCATGAACTTACCTTTGACAGCTTGGAAGTAGATTGGCACGAAGTAGGTGATAGTGAAAAAGTAAGAACCATAGCAGAAATTGTAAGCGCCGGCGGTCCAAATGGAGCGAAACTTGAAGACCCGGGGCACCAATGTGGCGCCGTCTCCGAGATATATCTGATCTCCGACGAAGACTGTGAACAACAAGGCGCTGCCGACGAGGAGGCCAATGATCTGCGAGCTTCCCCAAGCGTAGGTGATACCACCCCACTGCAAGACGAGAAGAATACAGATCACCGAAGCCAAGATCGCAGTCGTGCCGATCCTGGGGAATAACGAGGATAGCTTGTGAGCTTTAGGAGTGCCCCGTTTCACCACCTCGTCATAACACTTACCAGTCCATGTGGATCAAGAGATGCTTCATCGTCTCTTTGCGAACGCGCACCGGCGGCTTGAAAGAAAGAATCATCATAGCGAGAATGACTCCACCGCAAGGAAGGTTGATCCAAAAGCACCACCTCCACGTAACAGTGCTGGTAAATACACCACCAAGAATCGGCCCGCAGATGGCACCGCCACCGTAGGTGACCGCGATGAGCGAGCTGTAAATGGCGCGCTTCGAGACGGGCGTGCAAGCTGCGATGATGATGAAGATTCCCTGCAGCAAGCGAAGCAGATTGTCAGGGGTGAAGAGCAAGCGCACGATCTGCGCACCAACAAGTCCTCACAATGTAGCCGCCAGCCAAACCGATACCTGCAATTGCACGGCCTACGATCAGTGTGGGACTGTTTTGTGCGACGGCACAAATCAGAGAGCCGATCTCGAAGATGGTGAGCGCAATGACAAAGACCCATTTGAGACTGAAGAAGCTGTAGATACGGCCAAACATGGGCTGCAAGGCTGTCGCTGTAAGCAAATATGCAGATCCGTACCACCCTACATCTTGCAGCGCATTGAACTGATTCGTGATGGTCGGCGCTGCGGTAGAAACGATGGTTTGGTCAAGGGCGAGCAGGAAGATGGTGGCCGACAAAGCAAACATGATTAAGAATCTGTAGAGATGAAGAGCGCGCGCGCATCAGCCTTGATTGGCGTGTGTGCATAGACGGGAAGCGATCGCTCACAGCCTAAGTCCTTGAGGATACTCGGTCTCGCCTTCATCTTCAGAGATGGCCTGTGCTGCGACTTTGGCCGGATCGCCACCATTGTGATGCTCGGGCGACTTTTCGCTTTGCGAGCCACGCTTCGAGCCTCCACTGGGGGAGTTGCTACCTACAAAAGTGCCGGCATCGTCAGCAGTCTCCGCTGCGGGTTGGCTGGCAACCTCTTGCGGTTTCTCGGTGGACATGATGAGTGTATGTCACGTGAAGGGTGTTCGGGTCTGGGGATGGATGGGTGGATGGATCGAGGCAAGGTTGACATGAGAGCACGTCAATTTCTGTCGCCTCCGAGCCCAGCCTCGTTGTTTAAAAGGTTTTCATCAGTCACGAGTGTCACCGACGGACCCTGCTATAGCTTCGTCGACGTGTGGTCCTGCTTAGCCGCACATTTCCGATGCGAAACTCTGCACACGCAGCTTGACAGTATCGGAAAGACTCAATTGATTGGGCATGACGCTGCTGCCAACTGCAACTCGCAACTCGACCATAGCGCGAAGTCGGCCGACCGACTGACTGCGGGCCCAGGTGGATGGATGAACAATGAAAGGCTAAAAGTCGCCGAGCGCGCGCGTGTCTGCGTAAAATGACGACTCCACGCCGAGGAGCACGACAGGTCCGAGCGGGCTTGCTTGCTTGCTTGTCCAGCAGTCACGGTCGTCAGGGCCGCCGCCACCTCGCCTGTTTGTTGCTCTACTAAATCTCGCTGCATATGCGGTGCTGTCCTATCTATCTATCGAAATGCAGCGCAGCGATCTTCACCTCGATAGCGATGGCGCTGCCGCGAACCACAGCACAAGCCCCGTGAGCGACAAGCCTCAGCCCACTGTCCTTTGCCTTCAAATTAGAAGTCTGCTAGACGAGCGCACAATTTGGATTTCAGCGCTCGGGCTCGATTGGAAAGGAGAAATCTGGCCAGAGCTGTCGCTGTCCACGCAGCGGTCCTGGTCTGCGTCGATTTGGCGAAAGATGGACAACAATCGCGAGTGAATGACACTCGTGACTGTGACTTGTGCTTGTGAGATGCGAGGACGGGGGCACAGACGGTCGTGCTGCTGCTTGTAGTTCAGACGCAAAGACCGCTCTCTTCCGAGACGAGGTGACGCTTGCTTCCGCCAACTCATCCTGTACTCACGACTGTGTCGGAGCTCAGACCTGATTAGACCTGACAAATACTCTGACTGTGCCTACCGGTGGTGCGAATGACAAGCAAGCAGCCAACTCAAGACTCATCAGCTGCATTCGTGATTATTATTGTCATCATTAGCGTTTTTCTCTAATCACCATACCGTCGTACCGTCCCACACAGACTTGTGTCCCTATGGTGCTCATCGTTCCAAAAGCACAGCAGCTCGCACGGCGGCTGCAGTCATAGGCATAGTGCCGCTGCATGGTGCATGCGTGCATCGCAAGCAGACCCATGCAGCGCCGCGCCTCCTCGACCGAAGCCGAGCGCGCTAGCTAATTCAAACTCGTGACTTGGCTGCAGCATCCAAGAATTTCAAGAATCCGGGCCCAAATGGTCAATTTTGAATTGCAAGTTTGGCCGCCCTCCGCGCAATGCGAAATGCACGCCGACCAGATTCATCCGAAAACGCGCATCTCTTGGAGAGAGAGAGAGACACGAGCCAAGCAAAAAGTCCCGAGCAATCAAGAATCATGAGTCGTGGATGGTGTGCATATATCTTCATTCACGTGATTGCGATTCACGGTTAAAATCGCGCTGTCACCAAAAGGCTTCTGGTTCTGAAAGCGTCATCCACACACTCGCGTCGCTCGACGCCATGTGTGTGCGCAAGTTCGCGAATCGCCATGTACGGGCGGCATTCACCGACTAGACCGGAATGCGAAAGGAAGCGGCAGTGCACCTACGTGGCTCGCTCACGCTTGGTCTCGCTGGAAGCTGGAGGCCACCTCTGGCAAGCAAGCATGCAGCGCTCCAAGTAGGCATTGAAATGAGCGCAGCCTTGAACGACTGACGCTTCAGCATTGATAGGTGCTTATGAAGTCGTGTGTGGCACGTTCGACGACCGACAATCACGAATAGCAGTGGATCGCGTTGAATTCGAAGAGCGGGAGGAGCGCAGAAGACAGTATCGAGATGCCAAATGCCCCCAATTTCTCGCAAAAATATGCAGATTGTCACATTAAATCTGCAACGATTGCGGGAATTCTGATTGATACACCGCGAACATGAGCTTGGTTCTGGCTTGTAAACTCGTGCAGCTGTTAAGCGGCAGTGGAAGTGGTGGTGAATGCGACACAGTCAGGACCTGGCATTTTGTGATCGCCAATGTTGCCAAAAGAGGTAATGACGGAACGGGGGCCTTCAAAAGTGTCGCGACCATGGGCAAATAGGAAATTGTCAAAGATGATGCTCTCGCTAGGTTGACTCCAACCCCAATCCAGACGGCTCCTCTCATATGCGCTGATGATGGCTTCCATGACGTCTGCCTCGATCGGCTCGTGCGTGTCGGCCCACTCTACGTAGGGAGCATCCAGCGTCAAGAATTCGCGACTCCCCTCGATGACGGATTGGTAGGCTTCGTCGGAAGCGTAGTGCTTGGCAAAGTGCTTGCGAGCTTCGGGAGATTGACCGAGGTTGATAAAGATGATGTCCTTTCCAGAGGTCGGGTGCTGGGTCCTGCGAAGATTTGAGCGCACAACATGAGCCGAGGGCGCTTTCCTTGAAAGATTCGTGTGCGGCCATCACTCACACCATGGGTCCGTCCATGTACAGTCTAAGATGCGAGGGCTCGTCCTTGGAAACGCCTTCGCCGCCCAAGTAGAGGTACTCGTGTCGAGAAAACTTCAAATCTTGAACCAACTTGGCTACCTCATCTGGATCATCGGTTCCGAAAAAGCTCTTCCACGAGGTGGGCAGTACTTTCATGCGACCCGCAATGCCTTCGCGTGGAATGGTCCAGACGTAGCTGAGCTTTCTTCCCTTGATACGTTTGACAATGTCGTCGGGAAGAAGCTTGAAAGCGTGATGGGCGTTGAATAGTGGAGTGTAGCCACCCTTGAGAGCAGGCTGAACGAAAGCAAAAAGAGAACGAAAAGGAAAAATGTCAGCTACTCTGTTATATCCATACCACACGAGCAAACGGACGGAACACTCACTGTCAGACAGCAGAAAAGGATGATGCCAGGCATGCGGCCCTGCTCGTAGAAGTAGGACAAGTCATTGTGTGGCGGAAAGTAGAAGTTGGGCGGGACGTTCGACGCCTCTGCACCGTAAGACATCGTCGCGAATCATCGATCAGCTTCGTGTGGTGACTCAAACTTGGAACGCACCCTCGTTGACGTACTCACCGAAAGTGTTCGTGGATGTCTTTGGTCTTCCCGTCTTGCCCAGGTATCCTCCCTACAAGCAGCCTAGCCATCAGCCAAAGAAAAGCTAAGCCAAATCAGGTCAGTCAGAGGCCTCTCGCACTTACAGAGTAGTCGGTCAAGGTCGTCTCGTTGAACCCGGAGACAAATTTGTCGAAGGAGGCGGTGTCAAACTTGAAATCATGCAAGCGCACGGCACCGTATTGCTTGAAGAGAGCTTTGACATCATCGCCAGGGTGGGCGATAGGGATGTAAGCTTTGTGGTCGAGCTGGGTGGCAGTTGGCATACTGACAGGGCTGTGTAGGTACTGAGAATAAAGGTGAAGGTCGCAACTTTTGGCTTCGTGGGAGACTGGTCACAGGGCCAAACCGAATCTATACGTCTCTATAAAGAGTTCGCAAAGGCGTGGCATCTAGGAGCAAGCAAAATGGTCTGTCGTCCGTCTATCTGCTACGAGGAGCGCAACTCTCCACCAACCTCAGACTTCTTGGGAACGCAAGGCTAGTGTAGGCGCCGTGTATCGATGCCAACATGTCATGATCGTGTATAGCAGACCAGTGCGTCGGTCTCGATCTCGGGAGGGGGGCTCTGCCTCCAGGGCAGTGATGCTCAGCCTCAGCCTCCGACTTGTCAACCCAGCCTTGGTTTCGGAGCGAATGACCGAAATGAGCCGCAGTGTCGACGACTATGGTTGTTGTCAGTGCCGGGTCACGTTGAGTGAATGGAGGAAGTCTCCTTGCGTTGCACGCGCCATGCCACCGTAGATCGTGACGCAGGAATCTATCGAAGCGCGGGCGGATGTTACCCCGGCCCGAGCCATGCAGGCGACCTGCATGCATGCCTGACTGATGAAAAGCGCGCGCCAAATCAGCAGCAGCTCGCAGATGATGCGCGGACGAGCGTGCAGAAATGAGAAATGGCCGCTCGGCGTCTGTGCAATCAGACAAAGATCGGAAGGGGGCCTGCGTAAAGCGCAAAGGACTTGCTTGCTTGCTATGCAGAACCTTACAAAGTCACGAGTGTTAGTCGGCAATCGTGGAATAGTGGCTAGTGCCTATCGTTGGGAGCCAACAACAGCGGTGACTTCATTTCGAGGTGTTTTCCAAGGAGACAAACTCACCAACGCGGTCGCTAACAAGATGAATAACGCGCGTGCTCCCTTGACCGCACGATTTGGTCGCTGCGCTGCGTTGCGCACTCCCGATCAGGACGCCGGCTTTCAGAGCGGCCCATGTCCTGTGGAGAAGGGAAGCACTTGATCGCAGGATGTGTGCTGGATGTCTCGCGCAGCTGAGAAACCATTCAAGTCCCAACTCCACCTTGCCTGGCTGGCTGTTCATGTCCCCGTCCGTGCAGCCGTGTCACAAGGTCTGCACATGTGCTGCGTTTCGCAGAAGCCGCTAGCATGGAACCTTCAAAAGGCGATGCGTCTCATCGACGCAAAGCGTATAGCTATTACCCTACTACGAATCCATTCCCACACCCTTTCCCACATACTGAGCAAAGTGCGCCAACATGTCTGCTGCTGTTCAAATCCCTCGATTCGAAGTCGACCAGGTTGATGCTGCCAAAGCGGCGCTCAACAGTGTAGGAGTGGCCCTCTTTCCACACGCGGTCGCCTCTCTTCCAGAATTCTCCTCGCTCTCTCGGCAGCTTATCGGCTCGCCTTACTCTTACAATGGTGGTGAATTTCGCGCCGCGCAGATGGACAGCCCGCTCTCTTACGTGAAGGCGCTGATTCGTGTGCGGTCACCTCCCCTTCCCCATCCGTCTTCCCACCAGGCACCTTTGGCAAGAAGGGTCGTGCAGTCCTCTCGGCAGACGTCTACGAGGCGAGCAATGTCCCGCGACACGTCTATCTGCCCCCTCACAATGACATGACGTGTGCGTGAGCAGAGGTAATACGTGACACCTCCGAGGCCTGTTCAGCCATTCGAGCGAAGCTGATCTCAATACATCCTGATCCACCCCATCCCATCCCATCCCATCCCATCCCATCCCATCCCCAGACCGGGAGTCTTGGCCCGCACTGATCATGCTGGGCACGACCAAAGTCGCATCCACCGGTGGACACACGCCTGTGTTCGACTGCGTGGCTGCGCTGGCCCACCTATCCGAGTCTGTGCGAGAGAAGCTGCGCACGCTGGGTGTCCGCATCACCTGGACAGTGCCGCAGTACCCCAACAAGGACATGGAAGCCGATCCAGGTCCTTTTGCAACCGTAAGTGAGGCTTGCCGCGCTCCTCGATTTCCATGCAGACGCGACGCGCGCCCGTGCGGGGAGGTGAGATGGTGCCTGACACACAACAGCATCTGCCCGCCGCGCACGCGCATTCACGTGATTCCTCTATTGGCCTTGGCCTCTCGCTCTCTCTCTCTCTCTCTAGCCGACCGGCTGGACCAATTTCTTCGGTACCGACGACGAAAGTGAGGTCATCGAGGTGCTCAAAGAGCGCGGTAGCTCCAGCTGGGAGTTCAAGGATGGCCCAGAGGATCTGGGCAAGGTGGTGTACCAACATTACAACTGCCCAGGCACCCAAGTCCACGCTTTGACTGGCAAAGAGACGCTCTTTGCTAGCCCGCTAGCATTCCACTTTGCTGCGCGCGAGTGGTGGGCCAGCAAGTATGGCGGACCAAAGTCTCTGGAAGACTTTCAGCACTTGCGAAGCAGAACGCACCTCGCAGGTCGACCTGATCCTCAATTCATCCTCGTCTCCTACGGCGATGGAAGCGAAATGACTGCAGAAGATGTGGCCGACATTTGCCGCGCAGTCGATGAGAGCAAAGTCGACTGGTCGTGGGAGAAGGGAGACGCTGTCATCCTCGACAACCAGCTGTGGGCCCACGCTCGCGAGCCTTACACTGGCGAGCGCAGCGTTATGACTGCCTTTGGAGAGCGCTAAGTGCGAGTGCGAGTGCGAGTGCGAGTGCGAGTGCGAGTGCTCGCGTCGGCCGAAACATGACATTCGGCAATCCAGTCAAGAGTTCCCGAACCAAAGTATCCGGTATCCTCCTACCGTACCCTAATTCGAATATTGAATCACGTGAATTGAATGTTGGTCCCTTTTTGTTTGCGTCGCCACAGTTTAAGAGAACATCGAAGCACTTCGATGCTTGAAATCTGGGATGTTGATCCTGACGCCTCATTCTTGGTTACTCATTATCCATGTCGCACGAACCGGACCGCGACGACTGAGGCTTGGCAAGCCAACCTACGAGTGTCGCGAATCTGAATGTGAATCTCGTACACTCACACTCAACACTCATGACTCGTGACTGTGAGGAAGGCAAGCCAGCATGTTGACACCAGAGGTTTCCTTGGTTTTGTGGGAGTGGATCGTCACTTTTGACTCAGACTCACGACTATTCAAAGAGTAGTCACGAATCTTGAATCTGAAATCTGAGCTCGCGTCTCTTGCTTTTGCGTAACCGAGAGCATATTTGATTATCACATCCGCCGGATACACGTGATTCATTAATTGTCCAGCTGCGGCATCGAATCGGATTCGGATCATAATCCTTGATCTTGAATCGTTGAGAATTCCTATTGCTGATTCTGATTCACGATTCAAGATTCTGATTCTTGATTCTTGATTCTGATTGCCCCAGTCTGAGTCTGAGTAGGCAACGGAACTGATGATGGTCTCAGCCTGATGATGCGATTTGGATCAGAGCATCGCAGTAAAAGTAAACAAATCCACTCACGACTTGTTCTTCGCGATTCAAATTCGAATTGTGTGGCGAAATTTGAATCAGCTCTTTCCGCTGCAGTGCGTGTGTGCGCGCTGCACGTTGATGCACCGTGTGCATGCCCACGCAGCACTTGACTCGACTTCAACGGCTATAGTCAAGAGTCACAGTCGTGACGAGTCGTGACCGCAGGCGGCAACGGGCCATGCATTTGATTCGTGATTCACGATTGACGATTGGCTCAAAGTCAAGCTTGAAGTCAAAGTCACGAGTTAAATTGTCAAGTCAAGAGAGTCGAGCCTCGGCAGCCCACAGCTGTATTCACGAATCACGATTCGTGCATGCATGGCGTGGTGTCAGCGGCTCCGCCAGGGACCACTTTGCTCCGAATCTGGAAGCTTTGCGCGAGGAAGACTCGACTTGACGCGCAGTTGATTTGAATGAGGGGCGAAAGTGAATCTTAATCAAGAATCAAATCTGAATCTTGAATGGTCTTTCAGCGAAAGACTTTTGTGATTGACTCTGCACTCACGACTTTTGACCCGTGACTGCGTAACCATCATCGGCGCTTGCGGGAAATCAAGTCGGTCATTTGTGATTCAGATTCGTGATTCGTGATTTCAGTCTGATGAGTCAGAGTTCAAGACGTTTGCATCGGATCAACAGCTAGGGCAATGATAAAGGGCGTGATTGAAAATTGTTGTTTGCAATCAAATCATTCTTGATTGAATCGGCGGCTATAAGGCCCGCCTGTACCACACCGTGCCGCACTCAGACTGCCTGCCGCCTGCTGCGCTCAGTCTGAGTGCGCTGTAGGTATTATATACCTACAGTCAAGAGTCTGGTCAGAGTCAAGAGTGTGAGTCAGAGTTAATTTGAGGACCTACTTACGACTGTACCTGCACCTGCACCTGCACCTGCACCTGCGGCACGCGGCCAGCAGGCACTCGAGCCCATGTATGCACCCTTTCCATGATGATTTGCAGCGCATCCCGCCTTGCTTCATTCGAATTGCAGCCGAGACATTCGAATTCAAATTCACATTCAATTCACGTTGGGCCGACTCTGACTCACTGTGTAGGCGTTCCGTGCCACGACGGTCACGCTGCCCGCACCCACCATCATCCACTCCTCAAGGTCCACACTCAACACTCACTTCATTCTCCATCCGACGTTCGATTCGTGATTGTGAGCTTGAGCATTCACGACCTCCGCCTTTGCCTGCACTTTCCGTCCGCGCAGCAGCGCCCCCCCCCCCCCCACCCCCCATCCTCGTTGCCTGAGTGACTATGATCCAGCCGAATCATTTGGCCCGTGGCCCGCATCCACAACACATGCCACCTGCACCTTCCCTAGAAATGCTGGATGCTGGCGCTGCAATCAGCTCCACTCAGTCCAACTCCAGCTCCGGCGCCAGGAAGCCCCGCTCGCGCGTCTCTGCTAGTACTGGCACCGGCACCGGCACCGGTACATTGGCAGGACCATCGAAGAGCAAATTCAGAGACAAGCCGATGAGCCAAATTATTGCACCATCACCTGTAACGTCTCTGTCGGCGCCAGGTACATCCGCATCCGCATCCGCATACACTGCTACTGCTTCGATAGGAAGCTCAGCAAACGCTCCCGTCGACATGGCTAGAGGATCTCAAGCTACGTCCATGTCAAGCACAGGGTTGGCGTCGACGTCCACAGCGGATGCGGATGCGGGTGCAGCATCCGAAACGAGCGAACTTCGCAAGTTCCGCTGTCCCTTTTGCCCCAAATCTTGGGCGAGGCAAGACCTTCGGGATAGGCACAGGCGGAGATGCGCCCGTCGTGCGCTTGCCCCTTCAGAGAGTCGTCGAAGGGCTTGCAATGCATGTGCTGTCAGCAAGTGAGTCCTTCACAATGTCTTCTCCTCAGACAGACGCTCCACGATGATGATGATGATGTTGGCGCGCAAGGGCTTCGTATTGACCTCACGATTGCTGCTGCTTGCCTCTCCTCTCAGAGTTCATTGCGATGAGCAGCGGCCCTCTTGTGGGCGATGCGCTGCGCGCGGAGAACAATGCGAATGGCCTCTAGCCGTGGTCATGCGCACCCTGAGGGAGCAGCAAGAAAGAGCCAGTGCTCGCGCTCAAGGCTTGCCTCTTGACGTCAATGAGCGAAAGGCGAGCCAAGGTGCATACTTTGCCGGTCCAAGCGGAGCATCGCCGTCCGACAGGGAGCGTCGCAAAGTGCGACCTCGGATGACGGAAGGCGCCCTTCCTGCCGCATGCTTGCTGCCACTACGTGCAGGCACGTCGGATCTTGTTGGAACAGACTGGCAGGTACCGACGGGATTGCCTGGCGCAAGTAGCTGCGCAAGTTCATTCTGCGAGGACGCTCGATCACACTCTGGATCCGCGTCGGGAGGCGATTCTGAAGCGAGCACAAGCGTCGCATCCAGCAGCGGCGGCGGCGGCGGCGGCTTGGGAGATTCTGCCACGCATCCGCACGCGCAGTTGCTACCGCAGGCTTCAGCTGCTAATGCGCAGTTGGACGACGCTTTCAACGCTTTCAATTCGGTCTGGATGGCTATGCAATTCGAGGGGCAAAACCTGAACACTAGCCCCCACAACGAACAGTCGAATACTTCCCCCTCTGTCGGCTTGTCTCGTTTTACGCCGATTCATGGCAACCCGCACTTTGCCTTCTCGGAGCCAGATGTTCGAATCTCAGACGCGATTCCAATGTCTCCAGCACCGCAATCTCTCGTCTTGCTCCAGCCATCCTCGCGCTCTCCACGCTCAAACCACTTAACCTCTCATCCCACGCCGCCCGACCAGAGTCGGCAGCAGCAGCAGCAGCGGCAACCAGATGCCCTTCAAATTGCTCCGGGTGTCTCGACCGTCCCCACACCTCCGCATCTACACGAACAGTCTCAGTCAGCGTTTGGTCTGCGAGGCGACGTTGCTCAAGGCCTGGATCAGTTCTTCTCTTCCATGGCCTCGTCCGTCCCTTCAGCCTCTGCGCCCTATCCGCACGCGATGACCATGGCGCCGGCCATGAATCCGTCACCTCGACTCTCTCAGAACGCCGCTCATCAGGTATCAGCTGGTCGAACCAATCCCGCCGAGCCATTGTCCGAGACCAGCTCGTCTGCTTCGCGTCAGACATGGCAGACTCCTCGAGCGCTTGCCATTCCGCGCACCTTGTCCACTGCTGGTATCACGCTCTCCCTCATTCGAAGCCTTGCAGCCAACTTCATCACCTCTTTGGTCTGCACGCTACCGCCTTTCATTCATCCGAAACTCTACAAGCCCGATCCCTCAGAAGCGGACAGCCACGCCTCATCTCCTGGATCTACCTTGCCATCCGGCAATTTTCGCCGGCACGCGTCTCAAGCTCGCTCTCAGTCATTCTCGCCGATGGCAACAAGCTCTAATCGCTCGACTTCCAGCGGAACGGCGAAAAGCGACGCGAGAGAAGAGCAGGTGCCCTACTTGCCACCACCCTTGTTCTGCGCTCGCAAAGTAGCGACGCTCTGCTTGGGAGCCAAGACGAAGGCGGAGGCAAACTTTGCATTCGATGTGCTAGATCTAGCTCGCACCCGTCTTTTCGACTCCGATCCTAACCGCGTAATGGACCTCGAGCGTCTGGCAAAGACCCAAGCTTTGCTCGTCTTTCAAATACTCACGCAGCTCTGGGGAGGTCAGAAACATAGATCCATCGCTTGCGCCAGGCAGCGAGACCTCATCGAGGCAGCTGCGGGCCTCGTCGAGAGCGGCGTCTGCAATGCCCCTTCTGAACCGAACAATTGGTCCGAGTGGCTCGTTGCAGAAAGCAAGAGGAGGACCGTCTTTGCATTTGTGCTGCTAGATGTGCTCATCGCCGTTTCGAACAGCACTACGCCTCTCACTTGCACGAGGATTTTGGACGTACCCCTGCCTTCGCCTTCGCCCTTGTGGTCCGCACCCAATGAGAGCACGTGGCACGCCGCATGCGTCCCAACAATCCCCCATCCAAACTTCAACGAGGTGTCGAAGATCTTGGATACAGAGGAGAAAGTCAAATCGCCCAGCGCCTTCGAAAGGCAATCGAGCGCATCATTTGTCAACATCGATGGCCCAATGGCGCCCACTGGGAAATCGATCCTCGATGGTTCCGCCTCTCCGCCTTGTGCCACCTCTCTCGATGCCTTCGGTACGCACGTCATGCTCACCATCACCAGCTTCGACTTTCGAGATCAAATCTCTGTGGCCGCCTGATCTTCTCTGCGCTCCGATCGGCTGTCTTTTGCTTTGTTCTTTGCTGATGCTCACGTGGAGCTTGACCAAGTTCACCTCTTGTACTGGGCAATACCATCTGTACCACTAGTAATGAGCGCAGCAGCGGAACACCGCATGCAGGACCCTTGCTGATGTTTGCGGCTCTGGCTGCGATGCCTGAAGCTCAGCTAGAGGCCTTGGACAAGTCGAGTACAGCTCTTGAGCCCCAAATGGCCGAGATCGCCCTGCGCGAAAGCATGCTGTTGCTTGTTTGGCTTGCGGGTCGAGCCGAACACCGCTATGCAAGCCCCTTCACATTCCAAACGTTTCCAAAATCGTCTGGAAGAAGGCTCACCGGGGGTAGGGGGGGGGGGCACTGCTGAACACCGATGCAATCGATCCAGCTTTTGATGAGTTGCTTTGATGAATCTGAAAGTGTCTCGGGGCGCTCCGCTTTGATGGATACCTATTTCTGAATCGATGAGCATGAGGCGCAACGAGGCTTGGCATCGCTTTCAGGCCGATGAGCACGCGAATTAACGCAATGGCTTCACAATTTGCAGATCGATCGACTTTGAGCAAGCCATCATCACCCTACAAGAATCCCTCCCTCGAGCAATCTTGGTTCCTTGGAGGGTCGCCCCTCTGACAATCAAGAGCAAGACGAAGAGCAGTGATTCATCCGGAAGATGATGAGCCCCGCCGCGGTCAATTCGCGCCGCATCCATTTCCCATGCATCAGCGCCCGAGAGTGTGAGTGTGTGCAGCTTGTTTCGCAACGCCCAAAGCGCCGTCTCCTGCTGCGGCAATTCAAAAAACTCGATCGCGACTCACGACTTGATTGGCTCTTTGACCGCATCCTACAGTCAAGAGTCCAAGCGCGAGTACAGGGCGCGTTGGCGCATGTCGAAATTCGTTGAAAGTCTTTGCAGTCTTGAGCAATCGCTCGTTTCGTCAAGCCTTTGAAATTTCCGGGACGCAAAATTGGAAAAAAGACATTCCGATCCCCATCACATGACACACGAGATCCCGAGTGAGTGCCCCGCCATTTCGAGATTGAAAGTTCAAACCATGCACCTGGACACGGAAGTCGCTCGCTAGCACAATATCGGATCGACCAACATGGCCCCGTACACGAAACTCTTGAAGACAGCATAGAAGACATCTAAATTTCGAAAGCGAGACAGTTGACGAGCTGGGGCAAAGAGCTGCAGCTCGGCGATGGGACAGGATAGAAATGGGAACACGTGTGGCATCGAGTGATGATGGCAGTACAGAGTGAGAGTGATCCGGGGGAAGGAGTAGGGCTCCTCTGAGGCCCGAGTAAGCCAAAGACACACATCGTGGGGGGGGGAGGAGGGGCTCAAAACGAGTCACGTGTGGGCTACCTAGGCCTCTCGAGGTGTCAGCTTGACCTGGTAGCCAGTGCCGAGCTTAAGCTGAAACGTGACGAATTGACGAAACTCGAGCTTCTGCTTTGGAACTTCGGAAATGTAGAAGCGGGCAAGCAGCGTGGTGATGGTGATGCGCATCTCTTGCCATGCGAAGCTGTCGGCAGGATGGTGGAAGAGGTGAGAGCAATTGAGTTCGGGTACATGTTTCGCTCTCGTCAAGGCACACCATTCCCCTCCACTCACTTCATGCCGATGCAGTTTCGCGTTCCAGCAGAGAAGGGAAAGTAGGCGCTGGTGTCCGCAGGCTTGATACCGCGCTCTTGAGCGTCCGAAAGCCAACGTTCGGGAATGTATTCGTCTGGTCGTTGCCAATAATCAGGACGGCGGTGGACGGTGCGAAGCGAAGCAGAGATGGCGGTGCGAGGAGGGAAGACGTGTCCCATGAAAGTGGCCGGCTCCCGCGAGGTCGTCCTTCCCAGCTCACCAGTCACTGGGAACAGACGCATTGTCTCCTTGATACACGCATCCAGATACTGTGAGGGTTTCCACAATGGAAGCTTGTGAGCCGAGATGACCCCGTTGACATCGCACAAGACGCGCTCGACACAAGCTCACCTCGTTCTCGCGACAAGCAGTGTGGCTTGGTAGCTCAGCATCGATAGGCACAGACGGAATGGAATCCTGGAGCACCTTGAGCTTCTCGGGATGTTTCAGAAGAGTCATGAGGCAGTAGGTAATGGTGTTGGAAGTGGTTTCGGCTCCAGCGAGACTACCATGCAGGGATCGATTTCCGTCTCGTGTCAGTGTCAAGAGTCACGCCTGGATGACCTAGAATAAGGCCCATCTGCGGCACTCACAGCAACTCGACTCCTTGGGACACCACTTCGCGACGTTCAAGAGGTCTGCTGCCGTCCTTCGCAGGAGCTGCACGTGGAGGAGTGGTGGCCTTCATTTTGCCAGTGAGCATACATTGCAGCAGGTCTTTGCTGTCTGCCGCAGACTGAGGGTCGTCTCTGATGAGATTTTGACGCTGAGAGACCAGATCTTCGAGCGTGTGGAAGAGGTCGGTGTCGAGTGGGAAAAGGAAGCGGATGGGCTTGAAAAAGGCTAGTCCGAAGCGTTGCACGAACCACTTGGTGCCTTGGTAAGGAATCTTTACGAAGCGCATCGCATCCTCCGAGTCTTTGGCGTTAGGATCGAGCAGGTGAAAGTCTTGACCGAAACCCGTGGTGCCGATAATGTCGTAAGCCATACGAGCTGCGTCGTTGTACAAGTCTACAGTGATCGCCCTGTCGGTCATCTTGTCACCCGGAGAAGCTTGCACAGCGCGATCGTACTCGTCGATCAGATTTCGCAAAGCCCAGGCAAAGCGATCCTCGAGCGAAGCAAGATTTTTGATGCTAAAGAATGGGCTCATGAGACGGCGCAGATCGCGGTGGCGGTCTTTATCGCTGCATGGAGCGAGGAAGAGGAGCAGGCGAGAAGTCAGTCTAGTAGCATCGCTGTACGCATTCCCTCGGCATCCGAGCGCACCTTGTGAACACGAGACCGGCTTCTTCAGGCTGTCTTGCGACGGCAGAGTACACGCTTGTCTTGCGGAGATCGTCGATCACGAGAAGCTGACCGAGCGGAGCCTGAAGTGGTGAGGAGTAGGGATGACGAGACACAAGGCACGCATTTGCACACACTCACCTTTCTGATCGCCTCTTTGTCGGAAATGAAGATCTGACGAGGACCGAGACGATAAATGGGCCCGTACTTGGCGTGCATTCCCTCGTGCACTTTCCAAGCGTGACCAAAGTAGTACAGGTACATGAGGTGAATGCTGGTCCAGGGAGCGTACCAAGGACCAGGGATGGTGTGGTATACAGAAGCAGCTTCTTTTTGAGCCTAACCATACGCGCGAAGGGATGGACGGACGTGAGCGAAGTTTCTATCTGAGAGGAGACGTGTGCATCACCTCTGCTGACCTTTTGAATCCATAGTGCTGCAATGATGGCGAGGCACGAAGCGACGCTCAGTTCCAGCAGATTAGGTCCTCCGCGAGCATCAGACGCGCTTTGAAAGTCCTGCTGGTTGGTGGCGTTGATAGCAGGGGCATAGGCTTGAAGATAGTCTGCCATCGTGTCAGAACTCGTGACTGCAAGCCGGGGCAATGGGAGTGGGCGAGCGATACAGCTAGAGAGAGAGAGAGAGAGAGAGAAAGAGAGAGAGAGAGAGAGAGAGAGAGAGAGAGAGAGAGAGCGAGAGTTCGGTAGGCAGCTTTCGATCAAGGAGCTGCGACTCGGTGCTGTGCTAAGCTTTTGGGAGGTAGGCGGTCTACAAATGAAAGAATCAGCACAACTCGAGACAAACGCGGTGGTCCTCTGCTGCGGTCCTTTTTTTTTTTGGCGATCAGCCTCAACTTATACCAGGTGCTCGCGGCTGGCGACACTCGTGACTACACACTCCTCAAACGGCCTGGACAACCATGCACACCCTACTGGAATCTGTGCAGCCAAGTTCCAATTCCAATTCCAGCCACTGCCACTTCCACTTCCACTGCCACTGCCACTGCCACGTCTCCAAACTGACGCCCAGGGTTGCAGCTAACAGACTCGTTCGTAGTCATAGTGCCAAGTGTCTATTGCACCAAATGAAAGTGTGCGGACTGTAGCGTTGCCTGAGTGTCTGCGAACCATAAAGCACAGCACAGCACAGCCCAGCACAGCCCAGCCCAGCCCAGCCCATGCGCTCGTGCTGTTTAGCAAGATCAGAAGATAAGCCATTCAATTGCGGTACCTACCACCCAGTCCGAGTCCGAGTCCGAGTCCTCGCCTTCGTGCCGTACGCGTGTAGATTGAGACCCGTTTGGTGTGCGTGATTCTTGATTGCAGGTGCCACTGCTGCAAGCCTGCGCTTGCGCCTGCGCCGGTGCACACGCAGCGAAGAGTCGCAGTCGTGAGTGTCGATGGCGTCGCGTGCGCACAATGGATACGCAGCTCCAGTAGGTTAGGTACATCCACGATCGCTGAAAGCTCATCAGAGAGCGGCATTGCGGCAGTGCGGCATTTAGCCGCTCGACTACCCGAAGTACAGTCACGAGTCAGAAGAGTAGGTGCACGACATGGTAGGATGGATGACATGCGATTCCCTTTCCCCCTTTCAGAGCGAGCGACGCTAGCGAAGACAAGACGACGTACCGCCCCACCCGCCCGCCAGTGTGAGTCCGTCCATCTTGAAGCGAATCGAATGTTGAATGCAATCCGGACCCAGCAGTCACGCGCTCATGTACTGTAGCAGGCAGGTTCAATTTGTCCAAGGGGGTTGAAAAGTCTTGATGAGTTGGATGGTGGTGAGCTGCACATTCACGATTCAAATCATCAGAAGGGGAGCTGCGTAATCCCAAATCGGGAATCACGCACACGCACACGCACACGCACACGCACACGCACACGCACACGCACACGCACACGCACAGGGAAAAACGCGGATCCGCCGCCCTGCTGCATGCATGCATGGCTTATTGCAAGTCAAGAGTGCATTGCTGCAATTCAAAGGCCCGCCATGCATGCACTACGGTATTTGACATGTATGATTCACACGTGATGAGTGTTCTAGGCAAAGCAGAATTTGAATCTTGAATCAAGAATCACGGATCGGCCCACCTGCGCTTAATTGTTTTTGCATGCATGCGGGCGTGCGTGCACAGCCTGCCTGCCTCTCTCATCACACATCACACCTTAATTGACTCGTTTCACCGCGATTTCACGTCGACACACCACAAAGCTCCGCGTTGATGAAAGTGTGACTTGCTGATGAACGCAGAAAAAAAAGACGACGAGAGCCTCTCCATCCTTTTCCTTGTTTGCCAAAGACGAAGCCCAAATGCCCCCATTCACATCCCCCCCCCCCCCCCTCTCCCTTCAAGACCTCTTTCTTTTTTTTCTCTCTCTTTTGAAATAAGCTCGAGCAAACAATGTCGCTTTTTGCGCGACTGAGGGGCAAGACGTCGTCAGAGCGTTCTCAAGAGGGCCCTCTTAGCAGCAGCAGCAGCAGCAGCAAGAACGACGCAGGCCGAAAGGCAGGGTCAGACCCAGACCCAGACCCAGACCCGTCCGCCAAGGTAATTCCAACACCGACTCATGGCAGCGACCTGAAAGTGCTTCAAGATGCTTCGAATGGTCAGAACAAGAACAGCAGCAGCAGCAGCAGCAGCAGCAGCAGTGATGCTCAAGAGGCAGACAAAGCAGTCTTGCGAGCAGAGAATGAATGGAAGGCTGCGGATGCGGATGCGGATGCGGATGCAGCGCGAAGAGCAAGCATTCTGCACCTCATGACGCAATCGGGACTCGACGTGACTCGCTCGCTGGTCCAGATTCCTATTTTGTACACCGAATGCGATCGTCGTGAGTTTTGCAAACGTCTGCGATGTATCCCGAATCCCAAATCCCGCATGGATGCGCAAGTCTATTGAACTGAACTTTCCAATGCCTTGACCCGCCCCCGCCCCCGCCCCCCGCTCCACGTCCTCTGTAGTGGGACATTTGAGCAACGTCAACTTTCCAAAATTGTTCTTTGCTTGTGGGTATCGCCCAGCCGATGTGATGTATGCAGAGTGATCGAAGGACGTGCAGACTGAAGGAAAGGGGTTTTCCTTCCTTCTTCGTCTCTTTATCCAAAAAAATTAGCTTGTCTTCGCACGCTCGAATCCTTCAAAGGCTTGGGTCGCAATATTCACTCCGACCTCATGTCAGGTCAAACCTTTTTCCCGCTCATTTCCAAAGCGACGTACAACTACAAGACGCGCATCTCCTATCCCGACACGGCATTGATCTCCAGTCGCATCGCTAGCGTCACGAGCGGCACCTTTGTGCTGGACTGCGACATGTACAGCCTCAAGAGTGGTGGGCATCCGCATGCGCATGATGCGCAGCAGAACAAGTGGCATCAGCAAGAGGAGGAGAAGAAGAAGAAGAAGAGGATAAGAAAAGTGGCCAATGCTGAGATTACTTGGACTATTGTGGATGTGCAGAGTCAGAGGACGGGCGATTTGCTGGATCGCAATCACGACGAAAAGTGGAGCGCGCTCTACCGGTACCTCGAGCAGGAAGCGAGCAAGGGGCAGGGGCAGGAGCAGGAGCAGGTGGGACACCGCCGCTCTAAGAAGACGTGACGTGACGTGCCGTGCCACCTCCATCATTGACAAAAATGCGTGGCATTTTGACTGTGCAAAGATATGTCCGTGGAAATCAAGAACGAGGGATGCACTTGTTTGCTGCATTCGCCCCTCGCTGACACTCTTACAAAGCGCTCGAAGCCGCGCGCGGAAAAGTCTTGAAACCTCTTGTCGACGCATCTCTCACCTCTCGATCCTCCTGCTGGGCGACCTCTACCTCTTGCCTCCCGCTGCTCTTCGCAAAAGCGTTGAATTTGAGATGAGATCCGGTCGCCACGACTTTTGCGTATTGTTGATTATTTGTTGTAGTAGTACTAGTAGTAGTACTAGTAGCCGAAGCGGAAGCAACGCCAACAACAGGTATGACCTCGACTCGACATGCGATGCTGGCGACATTTCGGCCAACATTTGTGGTGCGCGAGATGATGCGCAAAGTACTTCCCGTTCGAGCGGCACCGAGAAAGTTGAGGCTGAGGTTGAGCGATAAGCCAGTCACGTCCCAACTCTCGACAGATCGAAAGGGCACCATGGCAAGCGAGGTGCACAGATCCTGTTCCGATTCGAGCATGAGCGGATCAGGAGGAAGGAGGGTGGGGGTGGTTACTCAGACAGGGGGACCCATGATCGACTCGGGCAATGGGCTGTCAACGTACCACCAAATATGCTTGACAGCCACCGTGTAGACCACCAGCCACGTTGACCATCTCTACGACAGATGTCCAGCATAGGCGCAAAGACGACTGACTCATCAGCAAGAGACGCTGAGCTGAAGCATCGCG